AATGTACTGTCACGCCTATCGTCTTTTAATCTCGAAGGGGTATGTAGAGATGCAAGTATATTAGATACAATGCAACACCTGAAAACTTATTTTTCATTTATAGACTTGCATTTTATGTAAATAAAATTTCAGAAGCCGTAGGTATTTCAAAGTCAAAGTCAAAGTCAAAATCATTTATTTCAATTAGGCCAGAATGGCACTTTTGAACGTCAAAAAAATACTAACTCAAGTAACTTTGAAATATAAAAAGGCACGGCAAGGATTAATTTAAACCGCGGAGGACTTAACGGGTTACCGGGGCTCCGGCTTGAAGGGCAGGAATAGGAACGGGGTGGTTTTTAGTCAGTAAGAGTCTCACACTCCCTCCCGCCTCACCCAGGCGGGAGCATTCATTCGAAAATTTTCGCCTCTTCAAAAAAAAAAAGGAAGGAGAGGGTAATTGGGCCGCCGGTAACCTCACTCACACGACGAAACACAACGCAAGCATTGCTTCACGTCGGTTTTCTGTGAGGCCGTGGTATCACTCCGGTCGAGTCGTCCCATTCGTGCCGAAGCATGGCTCTCCCACACTTGAAGAGTATCTGTCTGACCAAAGTCAATCTCCCAAGTTCGCAACACACATTTACGAACATCGATTAGTCGATTTTCCCATTACAACAGCATAGTTCCCATTCTCAGCAGTGTTCCAAATCCCAACTGTATTCCCAGGGGTCCAGCATTTGGCTTAATAGTAATTATGTCATGACTGTTGATTGCGGCCGGCCGTAAATTATTACTGTCCATAAAGTGTCATGGTGGATGACTGGATGAGGATATTCATTTAATTTGTGCGTCCAAGTGTGAACGGTTTCAATGATGACGCTGAAATAGGTGGTTTGGGATTCGTAATCTGTGCGTAAAGTGGGTTTGGGTGCGATTGCAGTTTAGTAATTTTTACGGGGTAAAATCATCCCATGACTTCTCCCGCATTGGGTTAGGCGAAACTCTCTTAATGAATGAAAACCACCCTGTTCCTACTCCTGCTCTTCGAGCTGAAGCCTCGGCAACCCGATAGGCCTTCCGCAGCTCCGAATCGAGCATCAACCCGGGCCCCATCTGTGGTGGTCTGATGGCTCTTTGAGGTGCGCGCGGAACGTGACGCGCCGTATGGTCGAGTCTGGTTCTGTTTTGAGTGGGCCTGGGATGGTAATAAATATACTTCTTTTTAAATACTAACTGGTACACACGGCTACACAGCGCGCTTTACATAACCAGATAAACTGAACGTTAAATGTGCGGAAAGATGATGCGACGCGACACCAGGATAAACTGGTTTTGTATAGATTGGTGTGTGGCATGTAGGGTACGCCACAAAATATATTGCTTGAGGTTATTTTAATTCATCGGTAAAATGCTTCATCACCTCGTTGAAAGTTTACAATCCTTAACTCCTTTAATACCGCTGATCTTCCATGTATAAGGTCGACCAGTTTGAAGGATCATGTTCAGATTTAAAAGGATGCTGTAAGAATAACTAAAGAAATACTCTTTGCAAGAAATGTATTTTAAATCGGTGTTACTTACCCGAGTTCGAGCCACTAATATCTAAAATTCGACTTTGTCCGCGTAGAATATGAATTTTAGATCATAAAAATAATAAAAATATTTCCTATACAAAAATTGCATATGTTACTCGTTATTACATCAGCTACCTGCCAATAAAAGTCATGCAAAATCGGTCCAGCCATTCCAGATATTAGCCAGTACAAACATACAGACAGACAAATATTGTAAAAATATTATTTTGGTATGTGTATCGTATGCATATTCATATGCAAGTAAGTAGTTAAAAGCATTTATTTTGCAAACAGAAACTCCAATTTATTTATCTATATAAATTTAATAGCTACGGTGACAAACATAATTTTTTTGCTACGGCAAATATGGCAGGCGCTCCAACAATGTATTTTAAATTTTGTATCTATCTCATAGGGCCATAAGGACTACCTAAGCTTATTATAACACCATCCCAGGCTCCGCAATATTACTAAAAAATGTTCTATAGACCGAAAAACAATTTGTCCGAACGATTTGAACGCAAGATCTCTTGTTCCGTAGTTGCACTGGCGACCTCTCAACAAAGAAGGTAGTCTCAGACTTGTCTGTTGAGTTAATAGTAGCTCTAAGTTAATATTATACTTATACCTACATCAGCCTACTGATCAATCGTCAAGCAGTCACCGATGACCGCATTCCACTAACTTTATTAAAGACCTTATTTCCGATGTTTAAAGACTACTTTTTTATGAACAAGGTGATTTACATCAAATATATGTACCCAAGAGTTTCAAACGACCTAAAAAAATATTATCTATTCAAAGTAAAACTATTTCTTATGAACACATTCCATTTTTGAAAGCCTTCCACAGGTAACATAGGGAGCGAACTACAGAAAAAAAACTAATAAATTTTACGTAAGCCAAAAAGGATTCAAGGATATCCTTACGCAATTCGTGTACTTTTATCCAACGAGATAACAGTTGATATAAGGAAAGAAGCCGTTCTACCTTAGAATAACAATACGCGCAAAATATAGTACCCCCTTAAGATTTGTTCACGCGGAAAAAAGACTACCGTTTACTATTTCTTTGTAAGTGCGCATAACGAATCGATGGATATCCAGGGACCATTAAATGTACTGTGTGATTGGATTTTCGGATTTATATTTAAATATTTTAAGGCGTTTTAGTGCTACATGAAATTAACTATGTAAAGTAAACGCCTGATAGAAATGAATAGCAATAAGCAAAATAGAATCTTTGCCATTATAACTTTGGTAGGCGTTAGCTTTATTGTCTCTGTTTTTATTTTAATACGTAATTGTGTATTATAGCACAAGTATTGTATTTAGTGAAATTTCATAACATTTGTTTCTATTTATGTAGTTAAGCTGTAATAAACGCTAGATGAACCTAAATCACACAGTTTTTTTTTATTTGATGGGCCGACGTTTGACTACTATCTCGCCTGTTGGTTAGCGATGATGCGGTCTACTATGGAGTACGTCGTCCCATAAGCAATCAATTTATGTAGTTCCTCATAATTGGTAAATTAAACTTCTTACTCTTTATAAAACAATGAAAAACAATAAGAAATAAATAAAAGCACAATAAAATCAGTGCAAAAGTTAATTTAAAACACTGCACAAAAAGTACAACAAACGAACCGCTCAGATTCTTTAAATCCACATTTCACTTCGGACTTCATTCTCATCGATAAAAGTTCAACACAATTTATTAAGCCGTTCCGACTACAGTAACTGTTTATCTTGATGATTTGTTGCCAATCCTTTCTCGATTAAAGTCAGCAGTCGAGTTTTTAATCGATTGAACAATTATAGGTATCGAATCGAATCGAGTTGCTACTTGTTATTTATTCGATTATTTTCTTTGTTTGATTTGATTGTCTTCTTTTCAGTGTAGAAGACTGCAGTTGAAGAAGAACATTTGCTGATGGAATGTTTCCGAAACAGGAATTAACGCAATTTGTTTTTACAAGAATTTAAACTTAATAGACTGGATGTAGGTCTGATACAAAGTATACTTGCACAGCCAACCTCAAAAGCGGCTAAACGATTGTACACACTGATAAAAATTGTCCAAGAGTAATCAGTAGTTATTTAGGTACTTAACGTGTTCAATTAATGTAATTAAAGTACCTACATAGATATATACATAAATACTTAATGTGAAACTAATTTAAGTCATGTGCTCACTTTAGAATAAGGTACGATGGGGTTGGCATATCCTTAATGGATAAAAACCAATATTTCTATTCTTAATTTAGTTGCGGTTTTTGGTAAGTAAGGCATAATACACTGTTAATTGGTGTTCACAGATCCTCGTATTTTGGATACCTGCATAAATTAGAAATGCCCCACCCACAAAATTCATATATTATAAACTTCTTCAAAAGTAAATGTAACGTACTTCCTAGACTTCTTAGGTAGGTTATAGGCATACCGATAGGTAGTTTTTATTGGTTTCTTGGTAATCATACTACATTTTATACTCCAGAAGATAGACAGGGTTGAAGAGTTGCCCATAGACATCTAAATTTCTTCATGCTGTGAGTCTCAATAAGAGACGAGAATATTACAGACTCCGTGTTAGGTAGTAGGTACCTATATTTCTTTTCAAGTGTATTCTATTAAATTGTTATACCTTCTTCTTATCATATATCATTATTCTATTAAATTATTAGGTATATTTCTTTTATTTCATCCTTCATCTTGTCGTACCTGACAGTGGCAGCGACACTCTTCAGCGCTTTATCAAATAAAGATAATAAAGTAGGTAAGTAAACAACTACTTATTTCATTGAATGCCATTTTTAATTCTTTAAATCCCCAACCAACAGTTTTAAAAACGGCATTGACACAAAACATTGTGTGTTATGATTATAAGGCATAATGCAAGACAACATCAATCAAAATAATTATGTTGATTAAAATGCTTGGGCCTTTGGCTTGGGCATGGCTTGCCTAGGTACCATATTATTACTCATGAACAAAAATAATGATAAACAAAATACATGTGTATAGCTAGTAAGTATCAATCCCTATTTTCTAACTCTTGTCAATCTCCATTGCAGATACAACAGATATTGCTATCGGCCACTATAATTTTTATCTCAATACCATGTTTTATATTTTATCTAACACCAATCTTACACCTTAGGTACTTAGCTGATGCAGGTTCAAGTAAAAGATTTTTTGTTTGAATGACAAAAAATCGAGGTTTTGGCATCTGTTTCATGTTTGTTTAACATTAAATTAAATTTTCATTGCAAACAATTCTAAATTGATTGCAAATAATATAATATTTTAAACACCTTTAATTTGTTTCATTGACATTATGAACGCTTCTTCAAAATTTAAAAATGTCCTTCTTTATGAACGCACCATAAAGCAAACGTTATGATTGGTCTATGCTCAAGGCAGGAAATTACAACCAATCGTGGCTAACCAGCCATTTTCCTCAAACTGTCAAATGTAAATGTCAAACAATTCTGAAACAAATCTCAAGAATTTTGCGATAATTCTCACAAAAGTGTAAGAAATATTAGTCAAATTCTAATTTACAATGTCGGAAAATGGGCACGATGCGTAAGAAAACTCAAGTGTCGTTCGTGATCAGAGACGAGGAGGAACGGCGGCATAAAAATGGTGTTAGTTCACTGCAGCTTGATCCAATACAGGGAAGACTGTATTCGGCCGGCAGGGATGGTATTATTCGTGTGTGGAGTACTGCGAATGGAGTCCAAGACCGGTACATCCAGAGTATGGAGCACCATACCGATTGGGTGAACGATATAGTGTTATGTTGCGGCGGAAAAAACTTAATTAGCGCATCGTCGGATACGACTGTAAAGGTATGGAATGCCCCTAAAGGCTTTTGTATGTCGACGTTACGAACTCATAAGGACTATGTACGAACTTTAGCGTACGCTAAGGACAAGGAACAGGTTGCCAGCGCGGGACTTGACAGAGCAATCTTCCTTTGGGATGTGAACACATTGACAGCTTTAACGGCAAGTAATAATACTGTAACAACATCAAGTCTTGTTGGCAACAAGGAGTCCATATACAGTTTGGCTATGAATCCTCCTGGGACTATCCTAGTGAGTGGTTCTACAGAGAAAGTACTTCGTGTGTGGGACCCTAGAAACTGTTCAAGACTAATGAAGTTAAAAGGACACGCTGACAATGTTAAAGCTTTAGTTGTGAGTAGGGATGGCACACAGTGTGTATCAGGCAGCTCTGACGGTACAATAAAATTGTGGTCTTTATCACAGCAACGGTGTGTCTCTACCATAAGAGTGCATTCTGAAGCTGTATGGGCCTTGTTAGCTACAGAAACCTTCTCGCACATCATATCTGGTGGACGAGATAGGCTAGTCATTATAACAGAGTTACGAAACCCTGATAATTTTATGATAGTATGTGAAGAAACTGCCCCTATACTTAAACTATGCTTTACTGCGGACCAGAGTGGAGTTTGGGTGTCAACGTCTGAATCCGATGTCCGTTGCTGGAAACTGCCCCCACTAAATTCTTTAGACATGTATAATCAAAATAATTATAATACTAACAATGTGTACCAAACACAGCCTTTACACAACATTCCTGGCGGACCTGCAATCAAACATTATACAGTATTAAATGACAAAAGACATGTGGTAACGAAAGATACCGCTAACAACGTAGCTTTATATGATGTGCTTAAGGCTTGTAAAATAGAAGATTTAGGAGAAGTAGATTATGAAGAGGAAGTGAAGAAACGATTCAAGATGGTTTACGTTCCGAATTGGTTCAACGTTGACTTGAAGACAGGAATGTTGACAATACATTTAGGTCAGGATGAGACCGATTGTTTAAGTGCTTGGGTTAGCGCAAAAGAAGCTGGGTTAACTACGGAGAATGATCAGAAGGTGAATTTCGGAGCTCTATTGCTGCAGGCCCTCTTGGATCATTGGAATCATCCGAATAGAGTGAATGAGGCGGGACAGAGAGTGATTGGGAACAATTACTTTAGTGTACCGCAACACACTCCTCTTATATTTAGTGAAGTTGGTGGACGGACTCTGTATAGATTGCAAGTAAGTGTAATTTGTCATCATCGTAATCATAAGACATCCATGGCCGAATATAGACTGACCTTAATGGCTACCAGATTGGCTGGTACCAATAATGATTTATTTAATTTGTTTTATTTACACAGTCATTATGTCTAATGACAATATAATTAGATATTGCTTTGTCTATTATTCATTATTCGTTCTTATCAGTCAAACACAAAATGTTGAAAAATACAAATAGAGCCAGTAATTCGACAAAATCTATTGACTAGTTGTTTCTTCATCACTACATAGTATAAAACAAAGTCGCTATCCACCGTCTGTCTGTCCCTACGTATTCTTAGATCTTTAAAACTACGCAACGGATTTTGATGCGGTTTTTTTTTCAATAGATAGAATGATTCTTAAGGAAGGTGGAGTATAATACATGCGTATTGCACCCGTGCTAACCCGGGGCGGGTCGCTAGTATCATATTATAATAGTATCAGCTGATACAATACCACTACTTCTAATGCACACGACTATTGAAAAAAACATGTGGTATTTTTGTGTGACATAATTTTAACTTAATATTGAGTAAAATTAATGCATTTTGAAATCACAGAACAAAAGTGTTTACTTCTTTCAATGTCTTTATATCTATAAACCAAAACTTATACCATTTAGTTTCGTTCAATATCCAAGCAATACGAATGCAATGGGCGCTAGTAATGCAACTCAAGAGTACGAAATTTCACAATACCAATGTCGATTGATCGGAATTGGATTCAAGAGTAAGCCGGGGGGGCTTCTGGAAAATGACCAGGACTCTAGACTTAGCTCACGAGGTTGTCGACATGTGGAGTGTGGATTCGGCTATCATTGTGCCGATAGTCGTGTTGGTCAATGGGTTAATACCTAAAAGCCTCGACATTCATCTTAGGAGGCTGGCGTTATATGGATGGATCAAGGGCCTGATACAGAAAGCTGTTCTTCTTGAAACGGCACGTATCGTGGTTAGGTTTCTGTCTCTGGAGCCCTAACCACCGGTAGCTTGCCGGACTATGCTTCCGCTACCGGTCGGCTCCTATTTTTATATATGTAAATATATTTTTTTTTATTTTGTACATAATATTTAAAAATGTAATTTGAAAGAATTTTAAATAAATATTTATAAACGAAATAATAACAGTAATTAATGTTTTACAAATGAAAACCCTCTATTTCACATGATTTCCAGGTTGGTGATGCGGGTGGAGAAACCGAAGGTAATCTTTTAGTGGAGACGGTACCATCCTGGGTGGTGGATGTGGCAATAGAGATGGCGGCTCCCAAACTGAACAAGCTGCCTTTCTATTTGTTACCACATTCCAGCTGCCAGAGCAAACAGGATCGGCAAAAGAAGGTATTAATTTATTTCATTTTATAAATAATCATCAAGCCTTTTACCCCCAAAGGGATAAGCAGAGGTGCATTTAATGCCACTGTGCAATGTAACACCCACTTTTCACTATTTCTGTTATGAGTCCCATGTAATAGGGGTGAGCATATTGCTATGTACCGGGCAGTATTTCAAACTGTGCTACTACTGAGTTTTTTGTTTTAATCCCAGCTGTATATTACCCGACTTTGGAATCGAACTAGAGACCACTTACCCGGCAGTCGCAGTTGCCACCACTCGGCCAATGAAACAGTGATTTTATCTGTGGCCTGGTCCTGCGTAGTTTCAAACGCTGCACGGCGCCTGATGATCGTAACGTAATGTTTTATAGCCCATAGCCATCCTCGCGTAACGCACTTGGAACGCCTCTAGTGTTGCAGGTGTCTATGGGCGACGCCGATTGCTTACCATCAGGTGATCCGTCTGCTCGTTTACCGGCTTATGCCATAAAAAAAAATTTTACATGAATAGTACAACTATTTATATGGTCAGTAATAAACTATTTTTATACATTACAGGACCGCCTAGTAGCAAATGACTTCATACAATGCCGTAAGGTGGCTGAACATGTGGTAGAGAAGATAGTCGGAGGTGGTGACGTGAACGGTGCGAGCGCCGGCAGTGGTCGCGCCAGCGCCAATGAGGATAGTGGCAACGACGCACCGGAGGAACGCGTTGAGTTGCTGTGCTGTGATCAGGTAACCAAGGGTATACCAAAACAAAGTATTCCTATAAGGAGGGAAAATCATCGAATGACTTCTCCCGCCTGGGTGAGGCAGGAGGGAGTGTCAGACTCTTACTGACTAAAAACCACCCCGTTCCTTCTCCTGCACTTCGAGCCGGAGCCCCGGTAATCCGTTAGGTTCTCCGCGACTCTTCCTATAAGGATATGTCTTTGTAGTTAATTTATTTATAGCACAATGTACATATTTAGAGGTATATTACGTACTACTAGTAACTAAAGTACATGACCTTGTTAGGGCGTAGCAATTTAACTTATACATAACTAAATAATCGTCTAGTCTATTAGGTAGATATTATATTAATTATTAATTTAATTAGTAACCATGAACTTATTATTATTGAATTTTTTATCACTTAAACACTATACATTATCTATTCTACATTTTATATAGAATACAGTTAAGGAACTCTAGGCCTAAAAAGAGCGTCGCCGAGAACCTAACGGGTTACCGGGGCTCCAGTTCGACGTGCAGGAGAAGGAACGGGGTGGTTTTTAGTCAGTAAGAGTCTGACACTCCCTCCCGCCTCACCCAGGCGGGAGCAGTCATTCGATGATTTTCCCCCTTTAAAAAAAAGGCCTATAAAGGGCATAGAAGTGTCATAGAATTTCAATCCTGAAATATGTTTTTAACTTACTTCAATTAAAAACTATGATTGTACAAACCCCAAATACTATGTACAAGTATAAAAAGCCTACTTTTACATAAAACTGAAAACTAGTAGTTATCATAACAAACTACCAATGCCATGTTGGCTTTAGTCAAGTCCACCTCATCTTGTTCTGGGTCTGGGTCTAGGTGTGTTTATATTCTTGATTATGTTATTGTGTTTTTAATCATCATGACATGGGATGATCTCAGACAGGCGTGACGATACTAACATATGTATGTAAATTACTCCAATATTTTCTTTTAAACATCACCCATGTTTAAAATAGAATATTATATTAATACAAAGATAATACAAAGATAAGATTATTAATAGAGGTATGTAATCGTAGTAATTGGCGTTCCCTAGTCTCTGCTACCCCCATGGGGGACAAGCGTGAAGTTATGTATGTATGTATGTAATACAAGTTTGTAATAATTCCAGGTGCTGGACCCCAACATGGACCTCAGGACAGTCCGTCACTTCATATGGAAATCCAATGTAGAGTTCACACTACACTACAGAGTTCTAAAACAATGAAACCAACCTATCTACTCAGATCAGTTCAGGAAATACTGCACTTTCCATTGCATGTTTAGACAGTGATAAAGTGTTTATAGTGATATCAGAAAATAAAGTGCTAAAAGTACCATTATCCAGAAAAAATAGTGTTAAAAGTACTCTAATCCAGAAAAAATAGTATAAAAGCTATCCAGCAAAAATAGCAGTTGAAGTAAAATCATCCAGAACAAAATTGTGTTTAAAGTACCGTTATCCAGCAAAATTAGTGTTAAAAGTACCATTATCCAGAAAATAGTGTTTAAAGTACCATTACCCAAAAAATGTGTTTAAAGTACTGTTGTCCAGCAAAATTAGTGTTAAAACTACCGTTAGCCAGAAAAATAAGTGTTAAACTTATTACTATGGCTACTAGTGAAGTTCTTCTTTTAATTTTTTCGGTGTTTTTCAAAGTGTCTTATGAGTTATCTGTGCTTCAATCAATGTGAGTGAGAAGGAAGATGGTTAAAATTATACAAGAGGGAATGAGATAACGATGTTTGCGGAGTTTTCCTTGCCGTTATTTTTCTTTGTGGGTTTTTCCAGCTTCTGTTAATAAAGTACTATTGTAATAAGGATGTTTTGGTAGTCAAACATTTACAAACATATTTTCTACACTTTTCGAAAAAAAAAAAAACAATTTCATGTATTGACTTTTATGGTATACCTACTTAGGTTTTGTTTTTCTCTAAAGCCTTTCGAACTATTGAATTTGACTCTGAAACATCCCTAAAGCTTATTAGAGTGATAAGGACGGAAGATAATGTATGTGTGAGAGGGAACGAGACAATGATAAAGAAATAAAACAGTGTCAAAGTTATCATTCAATAATCATCTGTATTGACTTATGTTAAGGTTTAATATTCAATGTGTTAACTAATAGATGCAAAAATGACTCTTATTGCCATTGAATAGTTTATATTATGAAACTTTCACTAGAAATTTACAACGAATAACTTATCTTACTTGCAATTAATTCTAAATTAGGTACCCATATATTGAAGGCATTATTGTGACTCTAAATTTCTTAATGCTTTTGTAATAATAACTACAAAAATAGAGATTTTTTCTAAAAGTGTTGAAAGTATCAAAAGATAATGACCATTTTTCTCCAATGTTTATGATTTAAAAATAATGAACACGTATTTTTTTATAATAACTATCGTGAGATATACTATATTAACTAAAATTCGCGGGTTACTCACGTGAATATACTGAGAAAAGCTCGAACAGTTCAGTTGCGAGACATTGCCGCGGCAGCGCACGTTGCTCATGAGTAAGAACCCCTCTGTGGTTCGAAACTAGTAGAGCTTTTCTCAGTATATTCACGTGAGTAACCCGCGAATTTAATTAAGGTATTTTTTTAAATTAATGAGTACTTTCAGCGATATAATGATTTGAAATATCGCACAGTCTTGATGTCACATCTTGGTACATTCTCGCATACTACTTCTAAATTTAATTCAATTATCTACATATTTTATTCTTATTATGTAACTATTACGAAAAATACTTATTTCTGATATTTTTCATCTAACTACTCAACAATTAAATTGGTAGATGTTTAATTTCTTTCTTTTACATTTGTTAAGAGATGCCTAATTCTTAAAATGCCTAAAATTATTTGTCGAATATTGTATCAATAACTTTTGAAGGACTTGTTGAATATCTTCATTCTGCTGTTAAATTTCAAATCCTGTGCTACGATTGGTTCATTGTAAAAACTATAGATTAAAAATGTTATAATTATATCCAATATTTAAATATGAAATATAGAATAGTATAAACAAAAATTTGTTCCTCATTACAGTTAACCCAATTAAAAATAATCTGTGTTTTAATAGCATGTTCTCATTGGCCTAGTACTTACTCTTTTGTAACATAAGTGGCCAATTAGAACGCGGTATTTGACTTGTCACATTTGGCGGGTAACGCTATATATTTAATTCAAAAGAAAATGGCGGCTTTGTTTTCAAAATAATACTTATTACAGCCAGTAGCACAGTCACTATTCATCAGATACGATTATCGGGGACATGGATTGTTAAACTGGCTCTATAATATTATTATGTAAACTTAAAAGAAGGCTTTAAAGTTTAAAATACATTTTAATCAGGTTGTAAGTAACTTGTAAAATAATATAAGTAAATGCCCACTATAAATAATAATTACTTGAAAATATATCACATTATACATACAAAGCAATAAAATGTTCAACTGAAATGTGCTAAGATAATACTGTACCTTATATACCACAAATAAATATTTTGCCACAGACTAAATAGGTGCAGCAGTGTTCATGAAGTCCATATAGGTATTCACACATAAATAAAATGTATCCTTTATACTGGCTGATAAAAAATATGTTAATCATCAGGAATTTAATTAATGAAGCTAGGTTTTAAAGTAAATAATATAATATCTCCTCTTCTAAGACGTGTTGATTGTTGATGCAACCAGATATTGCCGAAAAATACTAAAGTAAAATATAAATGTTTTTATAATAACTATTGTGAGACATACTAAATTAATTTAAAATCGCGGGTTACTCACGTGAATATACTTACTGAGCTCTAATACTTACGAGCCACAGAAGGGCTCTTCCTCACGGGAGTCTGCTAGTAGAGCTTTTCTCAGTACATTCACGGGAGTAATCCGCGATTTTTAGTTAATTTTAAATATAAACATTACAAATTTATTATTCTATTATGTTACAAAATATTAATTGTAGGTGGACATCATTGGCTTCTAATTTTATTATTGTTTCAAACATTATTGATTAAAACTTGTGGAAAAATTAAAATGAAGTAGGTAACTACTATAGATATACCTAATAAAATATTTCTATGGTAACTACTGTCATTGTATCTTACTATTACCAATCACGCCCTAAAATATGGGGCATACCTAACTACGTTTCTGCCCCTTTATACCCTATTAGCCATTGAAAGAACAAATATATGATAAAAACTTTATGTAAGTTCTCTTGTTTTACTATATTTTAATTTAAGTAATTCATTATGTAACCGATACTATTTCAATCTGAATTTTAATTTTCTGATGTAACAGTATAGTCTCTGTACTTCTTGACTATTTTTACACTATGATAGGAAAACTGCATAAAATGGATCTAGCTACTAAATAGTTCTCAGAAAATAGGTTTTAGGGCCGTTTTACTGTCACGCGTATTTTTTTCCGCACGCTGGTCTCGTCCGCATAGCACGATAGCACGTTCCGGGCCACACGCAGGACAAAGATTTGTCGCGGAGAACCTAACGGGTAACCGGGGCTCCGGCTCGACGTGCAGGAGAAGGAACGGGGTGGTTTTTAGTCAGTAAGAGTCTGATTTTCCCTCCTGCCTCACCCACGCGGGAGCAGTCATTCGATGATTTTCCACCCTTAAAAAAAAAAGGACAAAGGTTTCGTTTGCTGCTGCAGTGTTGTGCGTGTCGGTCGCCAGTAGGTAAACTCGTGCATAAACATGAACGCTAAAAAAATAATTATCTCCTATACCTGTATCATTTTGATATAAGCTTCGTGCACAAAGTGTACATTACTTGGACTTAATGCCAACAGTCATGTTCGAAAATAAAAAATATAAAAATCAATTTTAAGTAGATTCATGTCAATTTTTAATTTTGGTTTGCGATTATACGCGGAATATAAGCTTGCGTACAACCCGCTTTACAATAAAAATAACACTGAAGGCAGAAGATCGCCGCCCGCATCCGGATCCGGACGCGCGCTGCGTGCCCATAGCTAATTCGCGTTCCGCTCTCTTGCTAACTGCATGTTAAGAAAAACATGTATCAAACGATAGAATGCGGGCAGTCCGCAAGAAGGCGATACCCGCGTGCGGGTTAAAATACACGTGACAGAAAAAGGCGCTTTATATAACGACATTATTGTCACAATACAAGTTGTTGACGCGAAAGATAATTTTGTAGATATTCTAGAGATGTCTACTATAATTTGAGACATGCTTGTAATTATACGATTTGAAATAAATTTGTTAATTTAAATTGTCTGCATATTTTATTCATATTGGTCTTTCCTTTAGTACCTAAGTTATAAACGGTTTTAGAGTAGGCTTATATTTTATCGGTGCATTTCTCTGATCAAATAGATGAATACCAATGTACAAAAGTATTGTAGTAAAAACTAAGATTTGTGCCATGAAAGGAAAGCCTGCGTGACTATAATGTTATAAAGAGAGTACCTACATGAATATATTACTCCCTCGGGAAAAATAAAGAGTGTGGAATCAAATGAGTTACGTTTATAGTACTGCTTACAAATTTCATTCGCTTTCAAGGGCTTAGATGGGTTTAGGCCCTTGTCTTGTCTTTTAGAGACTAGGGTCTCTCCTCATTACAGTAACCAGTACGCCTCCTCATTACAGTAACTAGTACGCCAACAATTGGCCGAATTAGGTATAGAACTTTGCTTTACCATAAAGTACACCTCTGCCTATCCCTTCGGGGATAAAAGGCGTGATGTTATGTATGTATGCTTTACCATACAGACAATAATGGGCATCAAGTAGGTAGGTAGTTGATCGTCAATATTCGAGTTCTAAAATATTGATGATTTAATCTGTGGTTTGTTCATTTTAACCAGTGGTCCAAGTCATTTTGTGAAGTGAAAATGACACTGATGTGACAGACTATAGCAGCGATAGCTGTCAAATTGATAAAAATAACCTACAAATTATAGACTTCTCAATGTTAAATTGAAAATATTTACAAAAAAATGACTGGAAGACTCGTATTACAGTCTTTGTATTGTAGCTTTACAAGGAAAGTACCTTTAAAACCCAGTTTCCTGCCGTCAAATCGGTTATTCGTTGGTATATTTCGAGTTTCAAGTAATGAGTTTTGTACCATAACAGAGCCCCAGTTTGTTGAGAAAAAACATTGTAATATTGGAACTATTGGGCATGTAGATCATGGGAAGACTACGCTCACTGCAGCTATAACTAAAATATTAGCTAAAGATGGGTTGGCGCAGTACGTATCGTACGATGAAATCGACAGAGCGCCGGAAGAAAAAGCGAGAGGTAATGTTTTGATATCTTGAATATGGAATGGTTATTGCAACCGTATAAATATTTAACTTTTAATTAAATCTATTAAGCATATAACAGATGGCCTTTAGAAAATATTTTCTTTTATTAGTCAGCCACTTGTTCAAAGAATTACCTTGTAGATCTGTTTGTTTGTTAATTCATCACTGTCAACAAGAATGTGAATTCCTACGACTGCCTACGAGGCTTTTACTGCGCCTTGGAGTAGCAAGGCTATAAGTATACTATAGTAATATAGGTACATTTTTTATACAAAAGTGTATTTAAACAAGATAAAATTCCCATCATCAGGTATAACTATAAACGCAGCGCACATCGGCTATAACACAAAGCTACGTCACTATGCACACACAGACTGTCCCGGTCATGCAGACTTTATACGCAACATGATATCAGGAGCTTCACAAATGGATGCCGCAGTACTAGTGGTAGCGGCCAATGATGGACCAATGCCCCAAACTAGAGAACATCTCCTATTGGCTAAACAAGTTGGCATACAGTATATCATTGTGTTCATTAATAAGGCTGATTTGGTTGATGGTGAGGTAAGTCCAACATAATATTAAGGTTTTGAGTGCACATATTTTGTTATCCTGGAAACCACCCAATTGTATAGTAATTAATTACTATATACATACACTTAATTCAATTGTTTCAGTTGTTGGAGCTAGTGGAAATAGAAATGAGAGAACTACTATCAGACTTTGGTTATGATGGCAACACTGTACCTATGATTTGTGGCTCAGCAATGAAGGCTTTGAATGGAGACGAGTCGGAATTCGGTAAGTTATTTTAAGTAAATAAAATATAACATCCTGTAGTGACGTCATTTAATCCTTGACGAGATAGCTAGAGTTACACTTTTACAAAATAACTAATACCTGGTTTAGAGATCCATGAATTAAGATAATGGTGATCTATTTCATTTTATTAGTAAATATCTCAGATTATGTGCTACTGCTGAGAATTTTGAAAGCAGAAATGATAGTATTTTCTTTAATTTTTTAGAAAGATAATCGATTTTGAAACATCTTTATTCCGCAGTTGTACTTCCGAGCTTGCCACTAATCAACTAACTATACTCCCTTTGTAAATGTACTGAAAATATATATTTTTTTTTTTCGATAATAATTTAGTTGTTTCTAATTTTCCACTATTAACCCAAGTAATAATAACAATGATAAACATTTTATGCTTATTTTTCAGGTGCACCCTCAATACGGAAACTCCTTTCAACTATGGATGAATATGTGCCCCCTATAGTAAGGGATTTATCATCCCCCTTCCTAATGCCCATAGACAACGCGTTCACAGTTCCCGGTAGAGGGACAGTTGTCGTTGGCACAATCAAAAGAGGTATTATGAAGAAAAATGCCGAGGCTGACCTCTTGGGTTTTGGGCAGAATATTAAAACTACCATTTCGGATGTACAGATATTCAAGAATAGTGTGCCTGAGGTATGTATTAAGAAAGTACTCTATAAAGAAACTACAATGAGTTGATAGATTTCTTTATGTAGCTGCCCCTGCATCATTGGTGTGAACACGAATATGTGACTGCCGAGCAAAGAGGTTAAGGGGTCTCAGTAGGTAATTGCAGGGTCAAAGTAATGATAGGTTTTCATTTTTAATTACTGAAATGCCTGTTATCTTTAACATAACATCACGCCTTTTGTCCCCGAAGGTATAGGCAGAGGTGCACATTATAGCATTCAATGCCACTGTGCAATGTACCACCCACTTTTCACAATTTATGTTATAAGTTCAATGTGATAGGGGGTGAGCCTATTGCCATATACCGGGCATACAATTCCAGACCCCGTACTACTACTGAGAATTATTTTACAAACCTAGCTATAGTTTGCCCGACCAGGGAATCGAACCCGAGACCCATTGCCCGGCAGTCGCACTTGCAACCACTCTGCCACCGAACCTTTAAATATACACATAAGCTTCCTTCAATCAATTACTTTTAACTAATGTTTAAAATTGCCTTATTTCCAGGCCTTGGCTGGGGATAACGTAGGCGTTCTACTGCGCGGTATGAAGATGAAATCAGTGCAAACTGGAATGCTCCTAACAGCAGCTAAGAGTTGTTTCCTAACTAATCATTATAAGGCAAAGATTTATTTCCTAACGAGAAATGAGGGAGGCAGAAGAAAACCTATATTCTCTAGGTATTCCCAACAAATGTTTAGTGGTACTTGGAATATTGCTGTTAGAATTGATTTGGGTAAGTACCTATTATTAAATAGTATTTGATAGACGTAATTTTTAGCAGGTAGCATCAATCTAGTAAATCTGAATTTTTTAACTGCGATCTCAAAGTTCTAACCCGCCTGCTAAGTGTAAAAAATTATGGAAAACCCTCTTAAGTAGAGTAGGACACAAGTCTGCGTGTTTAACGCTAAGAAACTGCCGTTGATCGTCTCTCCTCAGTTTCAAAGCACCCCCCCTAACTGCCTCAGCCGGTATTGGAATACTTGGTGTCAACATTTCGAGCGACGTCCAGTTTTGCGGTCATTTAGAGGATAAAGCCAAATTAGCCTCGAGGAAGCTTGGTGTGCTCAATAGATCGAGGCAGTATTTCACCCCGACCCACCGCCTGCTTCTATATAAGGCACAGGTGCGGCCCCACATGGAATACTGTTCTCATCTTTGGGCGGGGGCACCCCAGTACCAGCTTTTTCCTCTGGACCGCATTCAGGCGGCGTGCCGTTCGGATTGTTGGATGTCCGGATGTTTCAAACCGGCTCGACACTTTGGCAATGCGTAGAGATGTAGCTTCATTGTGCATTTTCTACCGCTTATACCACGGGGAGTGCTCCGAGGAATTGTTTGACCTGATCCCTCACGACAGCATATACATCCCCATCATATAGATGGTTGGCAGGCCACAACTGTGCGGTTCTCACGTAGCTTCCTGCCTCGCACAGCAAAACTGTGGAATGATCTGTCGTCGGCGGTATTTCCGAACCGATACGACCTTCAAACCTTCAAGAAAAGAGCGTACTCCTTTTTAAAGGGCCGGCAACGCACCTGTGACTCTTCTGGTATTGCGGGTGTCCATGGGCGGCGCTGATCGCTTACCATCAAGTGATCCGTCTGCTCGTTTGTCTCCTATTCCATAAAAAAAAGTAGGCCCAGCAGTGAACTAACATAGACCATTGATGAGTTTATGCCAGTTGCCGAATGGAGACTTTCTTCTTGATTTTTAACTATTATTTATCTTTACCTCCGACCTGTTGCAATCACCTTTCAAGATACAAACATTAGCGTCCTTTGAATAATCATCCTATTAATTTTTTATTTTTTTTTTTATAATATTACAGATTAATTCTCCACGGACTCGAGGTCCGTGCCCTTGTCATACAATTTTTTTTTATTATAATACATCTAGTCAATTTTTATAAAGTAAAGAGGGTACCTAGTTACACACTACACTAGTTACATCCTATTAATTCAATTTCAAATAATAAAAATTATGACACCAGCCCCTTTCTAGAGGCCTCTCTTCAGGTCGATAACGATAATGACTTACCTCATTAATTTTTCCAGAACCAACTCAACAGATGATGATGCCAGGCGATCACGGAGAGGTATACCTAACTCTTTTAGAAGACATGGTCATGACTGTAGGCCAGCCTTTCACAGTGCGAGAAAACAATGTTACCGTTGCAACAGGCATTATAACTGAAACACTATCCTCTATTAATGTGCCCAAAGGAAAATTAGGGAAAGTTGTACTGAAGTTTGATGATTAAGGTGTATTTTTGTTTGTACATTATTATAGGCTGTAGATATTATAATGTTGATAAATTATGTTATATGTTTATATTTGGGATGTTATTTATTGATTCTTTTAAATTTTGAAAAATGTATATTAACATATAGAAGCTACCTTATTTGGTAACTGGAAGCAACAAAAGTACTAGATCCTACACTACTCATATACTACACTAGCGCCATCTAAGTAACGCAAAAATGTATGGTATATCATATTTAAATGTAATCTCTTGTTCAATTAAGTAAAATGGGATGGATAGGGACAGAAGAGGGGTGAATCGATACTATGAAGAATTTCTCAAGATCTCCTTACGATCTTTGTCCTTATGTACTAAAGTATACAAAATGTCCTGAAAACAAGTAAATAAGAAATAAAACTGCACAAAACATTTTATTCATTATATATTTTTTGTCAGAAGGTAATTAATACAGTGCCAAAACAGTAACAAAACATTAGTACGAAAAAATCAAGAATGCATCTAGCATTAACTACTCAAATACCATATATAAACAATATCCTATGTCGAAAGTAGGACAACATTTAACACTTATATTTTTCACAACGTTTGAACATGAGTTGGCATAGTAAACTATTTATTTTTCTCAATAATATATATAAATTGTGAACTAGACTCATAACACCGATACGCCTAATGGATATTTTATTTATTTTTTTCTCTACATTATTATTATAGGGGTAGTTATGTGCCGTGTCAATGTATTAATTCATAAGTGCAGTCCATTTATTGTGTCAATTTCAATATTTTAGTTACACAGATACTTAAAGCAATATCGGAATCAGCTGTGCATATTTTAATATCGATTATCGATAACATCGATATTGCAACATCACTATTTAGTAGTGCTGTGGATAAAGAAAATTACTTAGTGATTTTATGTCTCTTTTTGGCAATATCTAAGCTGTTAGTGCTCTCACTCTTATTAAATTAAGCATGCCATCACTAAATAGTTCTCTCGATATAAAGAATACATATTTCACGCTAAACACAAATACAATACAGATTTAACCAATCAAATCGCTTCCTCAATTCATTCGTCATTCTCATTAGATATGCTTTGGTCAATACGTACGAAGACTTACATACCAAAAATTTTCGTACGTTCAATAATTTCACACATATATTTTCCAACATAATTTACTGCACATAACTACCCGAATTACAATACTGTGTAAGAGCAGATCTTGCGACATCTGCCGCGACAAAATCCGCCCTAAAATCAGTCTGTCACTTGATCAACATGCTGCGTACATCTAACATTAAATCACAAAATTACTGTAATGTATACACGTTCTAACATGAAGAAAGACAGAAGTAACCTTCAAAATATTTTATTATATTTTTTTATTAAACCATCTATTTCAAATGCTATAGGTACCATTAGCATGTGATGTGAGCTAATCTTATTATATCCTTGGTCCAATGCGAGCTAAACTTGGCATCTTATGTTACAAATAGCTTCGTTTCAATTTTCACTTCATTATTTTTTTTTTATTAATTTGAAAAATTAGTGTTTTACCCGCTTTTCGATAATGCGCGTCTCATCTCTAATCCATTACAATAACAAGCGAGATTTTTTTATAAAAAAATAAAACTACGTTCTAAACATTCGACGTTTTAGTTGAGGTAAAAATATCGAGTTTTTACAAGCGAGTACAAAAATGAGCCAATTATAAAATAGTTTTTTTAGGACATCATCTATATTTAACAATAAATAACTATCGATTGGACATTCAACATACGTACGTATAATTTTACGCGGTAACATTTATAGGTATTTGCTATAGAAGTGTTTGAGTCAAACTCTATTACAGAATCGAGAGAGTACCATAGCATCCTATGATGATAATTATTACAAAATGTACGGTAATGTATTACATTGTGCATTTTCTAAGACGAAGCTAACATTTGGATAAACATACATTTATTTATTCCTCGTATACTTAAAGCTATTTGAGTTACATTCAAAACGTGCTAGCCACCAAATTTGCCACAGAAAATAGATTACACAAATCATCTTTTTAAAATTGGACTTTTCTCATTAGAATGAAGAAGGTTTTATTTAAAATCTTAGTCTGTTTCCAGTGACATCTGGCGGCGGGCGTCTAGAGACGTGCATTATCAAAGTATACATTTATTAGCACACCACAATACGATTTCCATCGCGATACCAATACCACGGAATTAAGTTTTAATAAGCTCATAAAATTCGATATTCACCACAGACAGTAATATTTTGTATCCATTAATATATATTCATTAAGTATCTTAAAAACACCTATTATTTTTTTATTACACGGACAGATCCAAAGTTATACATGAGATAAGGACTAGCGATCATCAATCTATGTATTTTTATATTAAAAATAGTATTCGCGCCTACAAAGCTTTGCTAAAAACAACAAAAATATAACAAGAAACAATGATAATAAAAACAGAATGCAGGTAATAATGGGCATTATCAACAGTGGCAGTGTTCGAAGAAATGCTAAAATAGTTGCATTGAAATGTTATACAACTCTCTATAGGGAGCGAGAGCTGGGTACCTTTTGCAAGCTCAGTGTGGCCGCTAATACAATGTTATGGCAATATATAGACGTTCACTGCTACCGGACTAAATGTAGTGAGATTTCAAACACTGAACAAATGACTTAAAATATCCCATTACATTCGTCTTGTTTAACTGAATAAAACACTGTCACTTATAACTTAAATTATAATAAAATACACTTATTGGTGTCGACAAGTAGTGTTCTAGCACCACGATACAAACTATACAATTACGTATGCCCTAACAAATCCGAGTGGCGCTTCAATTCCTCAGAGAAAAAAGTAAAGATAAAGAAAAATAATAATCAATTTTTCCCCCGTGCTGTCTAATAAAACCTGTTTAATACTTGCACACCAATTACCTAAAATATGTAAAAAATTAATTCACCAACACTTATCAACTAGAAAAATATTTTAGAAATTCTCACTTACATTTAAGAGGAACTGGCAAAATAAATCCTGTATTTCATCCGTTTCGACATTTTTATTATTACCTCTTTTTATTCAACTCACAATTGAATACAAAAAAACCAGATTTGGTCCTCAAGTATAAAATACATGATGCCATTCCTATAAATTGGACAGAACTATTCACTGTTCGCGTATTGACGAGTAGCAAAAATATTAGTAGACTATGCACACTAAACAATGGCTCAAAATATCAAATCCACTAAATACCCAATAGAAAAAAAATCAACCTGCCTACGTGTTACGGCAAAACCTCGTAGAAGCAATGTTAAACTTAAGAAACTAGTAGAGTAAGATTAAAATGGTGGCTGACCGTTCGCGTCTACAGACGACTGGCTCAAACATATATCACAATAAACTATCTAATAGGACTAACCACCGTTATTGTCCACACTCATTCTATCAAATACTATCATTTGCAACTAATATAAAAAAAATAAACATCCCATTATAGTTTAACACCAAACGGATTGACGAATCCACAGTATCAAAAAGTGATTAAAACTTGTTTAATAAGAATTGTTTAATTTTAGAGTATTTTGTGCTCGAGACGCGACGCCCGGACGTGGGCACATGGCGGTTATAAACATCTATACAAACTATCCGTCACCTACTAAAGGACACATCGAATATTATGCTAAATAGTTACACTTTGTTTCTAAACGAGGATTCTTTATTCTTTACACGGTTATATTTAAAAACATGTAACTATCAGATTCGTACTATAAGCCTTAGGACCACATCCACCTATATTTATCTCCACCTCGGGGCGAAGGTATACCAATACCGACCACTACACAACTAGCATCATTTAAAATAGATAAAAAACCAACTACATTACACAATTTGCAGGAATATCTATCTAAATAGTGTGTTCATGTGTTTCCTACAATGTTTTTTTTTTCATTGTTCGGTTATTTATTTATTTTTTATAAATATTCTTCCGTAAATTATTATCAAATTTGATAAAGCTCTAAGATTGATCCACATTCACATAAAATTACTCGGCCGACACCGAGACACTGAAGCGATGAACGTCATAGTCTGACCACAACCGGAAACAAACCTAGACCCAATAAATATAAGTCTGATATTATGTCATTTGGTAGTTAATAAATGCGACATCTATATCGAACCGTCGCTAATCGAGACACGGCATTATAATTCGAGGAACATTATTGTTAAAAGACTTAAATATTAACACTCGGGAATTTTTTTAAGGGCATTACTACACAATCGATTAATTTATCAAAATCGATCACATTGAGCATGTACTCAGGATGATCGATGATATAATAAAAATAAATCATTTTGGTTTAATATTACAACAATCGATTCTACATTATCGATGGGAATCGATGCTGTAGTGTAGCAATACCTTAAGGTAACGACAAAGTCGAGACTTGACCGCGAAGCTAAAGAAATAAAAACTAAAATAAAGAGAACCATTCCAGTCTTGCTAGTGGTGTGACTACACATTCCTATAAAAATAACAAATCTAGCTCATTTCTCTAATGTGATGTGACACACACTTTGTACATTCAGGATTTTAGGAGCAAAACCTTTGTGAGGGGCGAAATATTTTATAGTGAAATAGAAACACTCAGATCACTAGCTTAGGTGAAGCTTGGACATATTTTTTTGGACTATTCAAGTCCATATTACAAGTAATTAATTAGTAGTAATTATAGATTTTGGATTGCTCCCTATATTTAACACTTAGCATACAGGAATCGCGGGATATGTTCATTAGGCCTTCGTACAAAACAGCTGAAAAATTTAATTTAAAAGCAATTTTGCTTAATTCAAAAAGGTATTGAGCAACATTTAAATACCTACTTAGCGGATTAATCCAAGTGTTTCTATAATAAAAGTATTTACGTATCATATTGCTTTTTTTATTTGTTTGAAGACACAAAAAACTATTATTAACCACCGTTAGTATAATAATAATGATTCACTAATTATTATTATTATTACATAGTATAAAACAAAGTCGCTATCCGCCGTCTGTCTGTCCCTATGTAAGCTTAGATCTTTTAAACTACGCAACGGATTTTGATGCAGTTTTTTTTCATAGATGTAGTGATTTTTAAGGAAGGTTTATATGTATAATACATGCATATTGCACCCGTGCGAAGCAGGGGCGGGTCACTAGTTTATATTAATTACACCAGTCCACTACCCAAAGGTTGTCTGGTAGAAATCACTATATGTGATAAGATCACCTTTGTACTCATTATTATTTTTTATTTATGTTTGTTATTGCCTTTTCTGTATGTACTATATTATTAATGGTGTACAATAAAGATTCTATTCTACAAAAGAACAGTATTCAGAATGTAATACCATTACTGGTACAAAACTTTGGCAACAAATGTGGACAAAGCTGTCGTATCACCTCACCTCTTCAGGTGACTTCGATCACATTCAGTGTCAATTCGACTGGCCAATTGCACGACATTAGTTATTTTTAAACACGTGCTCTCTCTCTTATTAACATGTTCTAAGGAGAAAATAATTTAATAGGACCCTGGCATAGTAAGTCATGTCATGTCAAGTCATAGTAAGATGTCTTCAAATGACTTCAAAATAGCAATATGTACGTAAAACTTTAACACGGGTGCATCGACGCAAAACATTGACATTATGTAAGAAAATATCAGCGGACAATATTCTATCTACTAAAATCTCAGTTTATCTAAACATTGACTATTTAATAAACAAAACAAAATATTAATAACACTATTATGATTATTCATGCATTTTATACTACCTACAAAATCTAGCGTTTGTAAGGTAATCTTAGGTTTAATGCGTATATTGGGTGGCCAAACTTTGAGGTTTAGTTTTTAGAATAATTTGAACTTTATTTCGAAGATGAATAAAGTTCAATTTTATTTTGCACTAGTGGCACTAGTGTAGCATTAAGTCGACTACTCGTACTAGCTAACGTAAAGCCATTGGTCAGTCAACTTTCAAATTGCTTTAGAAATTGGACAAACATGACCTAATACTACTTTAGCGCCCGCAAAAATGAAATTATTTGTCAAATCAAAATACAAACTGTATTATAGTAATCTTACTTTTTTATTGACTTTAAAACCTTTGATCTCATAGACAATAAACGAAACAAACATTTTGAATACAAGATTTCCATTCCATTCTAAAAACCAACCTAAAATAAGGCCTCAAATATAAAATACTCAATCTTTAACATTAAAATTATTTCAAGCGATTGTTTAGTATATTATACTAGGTATATTTAGTATATTATACTAACTATATTTGTTTGTCCCGCTAAGTACATCCTATACGCTTTCCAAAGAGTAATCTAGCACCGATTTTTTACTCTGTGATAGGACATAAAAGCGGGTCAGAGGAAGAATCGCAGGACGAATTACTGATTAAAAACTCCTTTCAGAATTCCCACTAAAGCGATCATACTTGGCTTTTAAATTAAGTACTGAATAGTTTTGGTATATTTTTTTTTTATTTTTTTTAAATTTAAGGACTACGTAAGGACATTACGTTTTATTTTTTCTTTAAATATAATTAGGTTATATCACACAATAATCTTATAAGATATGCTGTAATAAGCGTTGGTCATTGAAATTCAGAAATCATATTTTATGTTAATAATTATAAGGTTTTCTTTCGTATAAGTAATAATATAATATTTAGCGTACAACATTTATTCTAAATAGGAGAGATTAAATTAATAAAGTGATAGAGAAATTAGTGAAAATAGCTTTGTATTGTGTTGTCTTGGAGTGAAAATTTTATCGTTTTGTCGATATTTTGTTGTTGCAGGCATTTACCGGCCAACGACAATTTAGTTGCATCTAACAAGAACTTCAAAGCTCACTCGATTTATTGCACCGAAAATCCCCAAAATTTGTTCATACAAAAGTAGTCTCTAAACACCGAAAATAGGGTCTATAATGGAGTTGAAAGTGTGGAGAGCGGTCACCGGTGACCGCTTAGGGAATTTTATTATATTACACAATTTTTAACATCAAAATTAAATATGCCACAATTAACATGATTATGAGCCCCAGTTTGGCTTGAAAATAGTCGAGTGTGCTCGAAAAAGATACGTTACGTTAGTAAGTCGTTTATAAATACCATAAACACTTTAATAAACACCAATAAAATGAAAAATGGACTAAAATTTTCACTCAAAGACAAAATAAAGAGATTGGTTCCAAAAATGCATCAGGCAAGGAGAAGCTTATGCTATGAAAACTCCAATATTATATGGACGGAAGGAAATTTTATTGAGCTAAAACAAATTGGGCTTCGTTGGTGAGCCTGTCGCTAGGGAGCGTTGTATTCACAGCCGTTGAAATGATACTAATTTTAATATTTGTTTGTAGGCCATTTTAATATGGGATTTTTGCAATTCCAAGATCCTTTCCGTGCAAAGCAGGCAAGCCTAGTGAGAATATCTATCACATCACGGCTTGTGCTATTACTGAGACATTCGAAATACATTTTTTATAGCATAACCCGGTAAACGAGGAGACGGATCACCTGATAAAGCAATCGGCGCCGCCCATGGACACTCGAATCACCAAGGCGTTACAAGTGCGTTACCGGCCTTTTAGGAATTTGAGGATTGTAGAGGATTCGGGTGCATAAGTCGGCGACATAAATGCTTTAACCAATCTATGAATCGAATTCACGTACTGAAACATCACAGTTCCGATGTGAGGGTAAATTAAACCGCTTAATACGTCATGTGTAATGAGATACTAAGTAGCACTTTAAGCAAGTTTGCGCTGAAGACTGAACAAAAAGTGGTAAGCAACTGTGTAACAATAACAGAAATGTCAATTAGTTAATTAACTAAAAATGGCGGAATACTCACGTGAAAATATTGTAAAAAGCTCTACTAGTTCATGGTCGCGGCGATGTCGCATGCTGCTCATGAGGAAGAGCTTTTCTCAGTATTTTTACATATGTAACCCGCGATTTTTAGTTAATTTCGTCTCACAGATAACATAAAAACATAACTTCACGCCTTTTATCCCCGAAGGGGTAGGCAGAGGTGCACATTTCGGCACTTAATGCCACTGTACAATAT